ATGTTTCTCAGCGAGGCTTGCACAAGTCACCTTCTGAAGACCTGTGAACTCCTACTATAGAGGGGCTCTTTTGTACCATTTCGCAGCTCCCCAAGAGCTCAAAAATGTTAATCTCTTAATTAACATGAAGCAGACCAGCGAAAGCGAAAAATCTTACCTCCATGCCGAATAACGCCAAAAAATGATTTTGTATTGAACAAGTTGAGTACTCAAGAGGATGGGTCGTCAACCCAACACGAAACGTTGAACGAGAATAGGTTGGAATTACTTTAGAGTGCTACTTACATGTATGGAAACCAAAATTGCTATCTGAACTGTAGAGGCCAATTATGAGCGTTTAAACTTTGCAGTAGAGCAATGGAGCGCAAAGTTTCCACCCAAGTACCAAATGGTAGCCATGGCCCTGTGGCCTGCTCACCCTGTGAGAAGTGTGTTTGGTTCCCGTCAGCCAAATCGTTACTCTTTCTATGAGAGTGTCTATTACAGTTTTGTTTTTTTTTCTCTGAATGTGCGCTTTATCGGAGTGGGCAGAACATGTTGAATGCAGTCTTGTCGCTGCAGGCTGGGGCTGTCGTGGAAGGAGGGAGGGGGGGGGGGAGGGAGGCGGGAGGTGGTGAGACGACGCCGCGGCGCCAATCCGTTCTGTCCTGCAAATTTTCTTTTCTATTTTCTACAGACAATCTCCGGAGAATTCTCCAATGAATTTCATGCCTTGACTGCTCACAACTCGCTCATTTGATTTAATTAGTAATCTCGATTTCCGTACTTGCAACCAGCGTGTTGAACTCTAGGGGCCTCCAATCGAAGTTCTATGGTAGTTTCTTGCCGTCTTCTTCCCTCCATTTACTTGCAATCGCAACAGGGGAAATCGTTGTTTGGGGAATCCCAATGAGACCGCGGATATTGCCTCCCCCCCACCGTCGACGGCTCGAATGGATGAGGAGGACAGAGGGACGGAGCGATGCGTACTTAACTCTCAAAAGGGCGGGTCGTACAACTGTGAATGATGATGTACCACTTATTGCAATCATATACCCTAGGTCGCTGCAATCATGGCATGACAGTGAGTTTGGGTATGACGAAACCGCTAACCCGTTCGCGACCAGTTGTTGAAGCGTAAGTGAAAGGAAATGGTGGAATTGGCACGAACTACGTGATACAGTCTTGTTTGCTTGGAATTTGGCGGCATTGTGCAATATCCCGTTGGATTGCTGTGGTCGCAAGGCGCACGAGTTTTTTCAGGCCTTGAGTCAAGTGAAACATTATTTTTCGATCTTTTTTGTGGTAGTCTGCATTTATAACGTTTAAAAAGTGCGGGTATCAAACGGTATGTAAGCCGAAACCAATTTTGGGCTGCAGGTTGGGGACCAGCTGTGCTGGACTGTAGCCTTTCCCCGGAAACAAGGTTAGGCTCAAAGCGCTGACCACCAGAGGGACCGAGAGAGGCCCTAGCGAAGAAGACATAGTCTCATTAAGCGTGAGCTTTGATCAGAGAACACTAGCGCAATAATTTGACGCAATCAAAATGGTTACCGTAAGGAATTCCTCAAGAGTTGCAGGAAAGTCATGAATAAGTGCGAACGCCATCACTGCCAGGTGTGGGTGTCGAACAGCACATTTGGGGTGTAGTGGCGGGGACGGTAAGCTTTTATAGCACGAACATAAAGCTCTCACAACGACGCATGTTAAAATAAATTTATGAGAATCAACATCTATAGCTGAGTTGTGAATTCGCCTAGTCAACCGGATTGCTAGAAAGGCAGAAATGCGGCGGTCTCATTTCGGAAAAAGTCTCTCACCAGGTCTCAATGGAAACCGGAGAAAAACTTGCCATGAAAGGGAACCGGACAGGCGGCGAAGTGCTTATAATGAACATGCCATGTGAAGGGAAAGGGAAGTCCAACGAGTTGTGCCAATGAACTTGTAGGGACGTATGACTGTAGCCCCACGCTTCTTTACTGACCGTTCAGTAACCGGCCCACATCCCTTTCCCGACTTGCAATCCTAGTTATTGCTCCTGCTCAAACTGAAAAGCTTTCACTTTGGACTACGTGGGATTGGTTTAGTTTATTACATGACTGGGCATTTAGATGAAGATGTGCGTTTTCATAATCTTTCCAAATAGACGAAGAAATACTGAGGTGATGCTAAGTTTTGCGCATAACAGTGGATAGGCTTCTTAGGTATAGGCACAACGAATAAATGCTTCCGTCGCATGGGGACCTCTGCGGTCACTCACCAGCTTGGTCAGCTGAGCTTGAAGATTATGGAAAGAGGGTCGGGGATGAATGGGGCAACCCTCTTCATGAAACTTGTGGGGACATATGTAGTCCCCACAGCTGTAGCTGTTATCGACATCGAGGGGTCTAACGTTCTGTAACCGGCCCACACCCCTTTTCCTGACTTGCAATACTAGTTATTGCTCCTGCTGGAACTGAAAAGCATATACTACGCACTACGTAAAATTTCACGATTTTTTTGGAGTTTCAAAAAAACAACAATTAACGAGTAAAATATACAACGAAGTCCGAAGAGTGGGGAGGGGGAGGAGTGGAACAAATATTAGTTTCCTTCTCGCCCGCGCTCTCAGACGGGACTGAACAGAACAAGTATCACACTTCTTCCTCATCAGTCATTAGAAAGGGAAAGGAAGGAAAGCAAACGTCATAAGGATATCCCACCCGAACAGTCTCACAACCCAACTTCATGCCTTGCTTTTCATCACATCAGCTTGCGTTGCGTGGTCTATAGGTAGGCTAATGTCTATTACTCCTCAGGCAGACCTGATGAGGGCTAACGTGGGTCACAATGCGATTCGTGGCTATTCGCGCGCGGAGCCGCAGAGCCGTTCCATCTCAATCTCGCGCATGTGAGGCGTTACATTCAAGTCGCACCCACAGGGGATTTTTCCAGCTAGTTGACAAGAGCAGTTTCAGACGCAGAGATGAATTGGTCGTTTTAAGGGACGCAGACGCAGAAACTCAAAAAAAAAACCGACGCGCCGTAGCACTGGTTCGTTGGGTGGACTGGGTCCTGGTGCTAATGCTGGGTACGGTAATCCGCTCGCAGCACCTATTATACCGCAACTCGAATAACGCACCACATTTTGGCGGGGCACGCACAACGCCCTGCAACTCTGCACGACGCTGCATCGTAACCTAACTATAAGACCACACTTCCGTCTGAAGGCGCTCAATAAACCAAGGGTATTGTGGGCTCAGCTGACACTGATAAGATTCAGTCCTAGTGTTGGCCCTCCAAACGCATGCGCTGAATTTGCTAACAAATAAATAAAGAAGATACAAACGGCTGACACATTGAGGTAAATTGAAAGAAAAAAATATCAAAAGTCTTACTCTGACAAATTCCTGCTGCTCTGTGATCACATGTAATTTACGTTGCACCTCGTACGTCGAAGGCTCGGCTCCCCAATCGGGACTCAGGTATCGATCGATTGAGGACTGAAATTCAGAAGGCACTTCCTGCGATCACTTATGAAAATCAGAACTTGGAGAAAGGGAGTTTGCATAGCAATGGACAATATCCTCAGAAAATTCTTCAGATGGGGTTAAAGGCGCAAGACTGTTCAAGTGGCGCCACCTGACCCAAGTGACTCCGCCCTACGTTGCCAGCTATCGTGTCTGTCGTCTTGCTAGTTTGCGCGCTGTCTCGCTGCTCTTGTCTGATCTCGAGCAGAATCCTCATGGAAGCGAGGATCACTCGGGGAAAAACTGCAGTGTCTTTTCAAGGGCAGGTCAACTACGGTAAACTCGTATAACCCACGGCGTAGTCGCGGAGTGACTTCAATTTCCTGTTTGAGAAGAGGGCAGAGATCGTCAGCCTCTCTTTTTCTTTCTGTCTACACACGTACTTATCTGCTAGCCATACACAGAAGCTAATAATGCCACCCAAACCCTGTTTAATGCCTCCATATGAAATGAAAACAGTGCCTTTTGGAACATATGTGCTGGAGAACGACGCATACAGTCAGACAGACGCCCAGCAATCGACTAATAATGCGCTTGTACGCAAGCTAACGACTATTATTGGGACCGGTAAGGAGCCTGGACTTATAAGGTGGAGAGACAAAGAACTGGAGCTATAGCAAAAACCGACTGACCTTGATCTCAGCAACGGTCGTAGGCTGCTGCTGATGTTGGTTTGACGCCGTTTCGGCTTCCTGGCGCTGGAACACTAATGGTTATTATTCTTAGAGTTGAAGAGGAGATGGAGGGAGTGAGATCGTAAGGTTTCAAATCTTCAAATTTCAAGGTTCACAACGATAACAATTAAATTCAATCAGTTTCATTGGGTATAATGGCCTTAGCCTAGGGGTGTTTGACCGCGACGCGATGGTCAATCTTCTACCGTCGCGTCGCGGTTCAAAGCTGACCAAGTTCAGAACAATGAATTTTACAAGGCGCGATCTCACTATAAGGTCAAGCCGTAGATATGGATACGGGCAGGGGTAGGGGTTACCTCCAGAATTTCTTCAACGGCATATTCCTCACTGCTGGGAATAGAACACTTTGTCCTTTTCATTGGTGAGCCCCATCCTGCAAGATAACAAGGTAACAAGGGAGAGGTGTGTACCGAATAGGAAGGTGCGATGGCGCTAAGGACCTCATCCATATGATTAACGTAAAATATTTCTTCTGAACACCGCTCAGGTGAGATAGGTGCAAGGGCGCTCTTCAATAAGATCCAACGTGCGACGTGTTCTTCACTCGAAACCTATTGTCTCGTTTAATCCTTTTTCTTCTTTGAAAAAGCTTCGCAGGCTAAAAATTTTCATTAGGAAAAGCTTGTAGGGTCATTTAAATACCATCACTACTGTGCTTCGAAATAAAAGGCTTATCTCGCGATCAAAAATTATAGTCTGGGAGCTCAGATATGAAGAAAAAGTGGTAGGTAACTTAGTAGTAAAGAAAAAAGCAAAAAGCTCGTACGAGTTGCTCTGATTAGGACTCTCTGCCGACCAGACAAGCTTGTACGAGTACACATCGGAGAATGGGCTTGCTTGGACGAGCTTCCCTTGTTGGTATACTAAGATATAAGGAAGAGGAATGGGAAGAGCAAGAACGGAACAGGCGCACCATCGGGTAGCCATTAAATGAACGCTGGGTGTGGTATGGGGCAGTGGGCGGGGCATCCCCGTGCTGCGGTTGGGTGGCGTCGTTCGAACTAATTTTTGAACAGCAAATGTGATACATTCTCTGTAGTTGCGGTTAGGACCACCTTGTCTTGGTCTGCAAAAATGAACGTGGGGCGTGCCTTTAAGGGTGTGAAAGAGTGGGTTTTACCTTGGAAGAGCCTTTCTTCACTTCACGAGGGGTTCGACGTTGCTGTTTGTGCACCACCATCCTGAAATACGATTCACTTATGTTTTTTATCGGAATTTGTCGCAGAGGTAATAAATTTGAATAAAGGTCAGTCTGCATGAGTAATTCGATCTACATGATAGTTATAACATCACAATCAGTCGGGGACGATTTGATAGGGCGGGGTGAACCCGCCTCCGGCTGCATTGCTCTACCAATGGTGATGGCTAGTGATCGATTCAGAAAAAAGCAACCAGTGGTAGTAATGTGGCAGGTGGGGTCAGTCCTTTCCTCTAGAAACCCGACTGACCGCAATGATATCAACTGTAAATGATCCGCATAGCGTGTAAACGCTTGGCGCGCGCGTTTCCGGTGACAAAAGGCAACCGAGGTTTACTCGAAACTTAAATAGTGAGATGGAAAGGTATGTACGTTGTTCGAACACACACAGCCCATATCTAAGGGTACCAAGAGGGGTGGCTGCAAGGGTCCAGACGTAATAGACAGAAGCGTGTGTTAAAAGGAAGAGATCTGGAATGGAAGCAGCGACGCCTCTTGCTGTCTCGGATATGGACAACGCTTCACCTAGAAAAGGTCGTCTATGCTGTGCTCACTTCAATCGGAATTTGGCTTGAAATTTTTTCATCTCATGTGGTTCAAAAAAATTTTTTGGTGAAACCTGGCCTGGTCCGCCACGAGGTACATGCCCCGGTGCTGATCACAAATATAGCACTCTGGCGACCAAATTAGCGCCAATTGGGGTCAGTTTAGGGCCGCCACCTTCCTCACCAAATTTGGTAAAATTTGCATAGTCAGATTATTTGATGTCCTGATCACGAACACCGAATTAGTTTTTAGACTTGACGCCATTCTGCGCCATTAGGCACTGATTTGGCACCACAACCTTTTTTATCAAAATAATAAAAACCTGAGTGATGAGGTTGTTTGATGCCCTGATCACAAATACGACAATTATTTTTTGACGCAAGCCGCCCAGTTAGCCGTCCCTTTTCTAAAGCTGAGCCTAGGGCCGAAAAGTTAGTTCTTTTTTCTTTTCCTTCAAGTCAGTTCACTGCAGGTTAGCAGAGCCCGCCCAGAGATGGATCGGCCCAGGCTTCTTCCATCATTCAGCCGCCCAGGCGCCGACGGCGACAAATGAATGCTGATTTTAGATAATCAGATGTCAAATAACCTCGGTATGCCCAAGCTTTCAGCGACATTTAGGGAAGCCTAGGGTGTTTTGGCGCCGCCTTGTGACGCGGGGGCGCCAGGCCGTTATGACTATCGTGCTGTCAGGAGGCCAAACCCTTACCTCCTACAAGTTTTTACGGATCTGCGTGATCTGCGGGCCACCTGCCGGAGCCGGATGTGATATTCTATTCAGGATGCTCAGCATACCCCTGGAAAGCGACACGTTTTGCAGCGAGTTGCCGTATGCGAGGTTTTTGGGCGCGCCGGCCGCCCCAGAACTTTCACGGGTCGCAGCTGGAAATGATTTCACGCCAAAGCCTGCCCCCCGTAGAAAAAAGTCTCGCATTCATGTCCAGACGACTTTCGAAAAATCTGGGTAGTAATGCGTTGAACAGTGCCCCATATTTTCTAACGCTTTGGAGGCGCGAGGTAGCGAGGACTCACGCAAAGTTCGCGACTGCGCCGCGTCATGTCTGCTTATTCTGCGACTGGCTCCAGCCGACTGGGCAGCCGCGCCTGCAGCCACCATTCTCACGCGTTCGGCCAAACGTCGACAAGACCTCAACACAAAAGTGAAGTGACATAGCGCGCTCACGCGCCCTCAGCTACTTTTGCCCCCCCCTTCTACTGCCCAGCTACTCAAGTGACTATGAAGCTAATCGCAAAAAAGTATAAAGAGAGTGGTAGGCCTCTGCGAAGCACTCACCATGGCCTATTTCTGATTCACGCCAGCGTCCCTCGGCCGAGAGTGGTTAGGTGAGACTCACATGCTATTTCTCGATTCAGCCAACGTCCTGGACTCAGCCAACGTCGTATGGGTGTTGCCACGGACGAACGTTTCGGTGGGGCAAACAGAATTCCGCTGGAAGTCAGTCATTGAAAGTCAGCAAATACACCGGCCAGTTACGGGCATAGCTGCCCGAGGAATAGCGCAACACTCAAGTTATCCAAGCAAATATTGATCCCGAAGGAATAAAAAAAACATTAAAAAGAATCATCCAACTATCCATGCAAGCTCATTCTGGAAAACTCTGCGAATCGTGGACTGGTCTACTCCACAAATCGGGTTTCGTTGGGTCGAAATCCAGTTCTTGAGGAGAAGTGGTAAAAATGGTAAGTTTTGCCATACAAGTTCACATACTGTACCTGCCGTGCATTTCGTTCATACTGCTTTTTATGGCGTGCGCGTGGCGTATACTAGTCATATATTCTTGTACGCTGCCGATGAATGGGCGTGTAAATGAGGCAGGCTTTGGCGTGCTGTCATCCTGTTCTCCACCACCTGTCAAGGCGGGTAAGCGATAACAGTTGGTGAAAAACGACTGGTACGAACGATACGATACAATTCTGTCTTTCCACTTGCCGGAACAAAGAAAGAGCTGGAGCTGCGCCAAACCCATGCCCTGACACACCAAATCGTCCTCAGCAAACACGAGTAAATTTCCACCTCATTGGCCAACACCCAGCGAGCCAGCGATTGCATGCAACGTAACTTGCCCAACAACAATACATCCCCTACGCCCGCTTCTTCTCGAGAACTGGATTTCGATGGTCGAATATTAGATTTTCCAAAGATGTGTCGAAATGCTATCGGCTCATGGAGATGGACCTATCACG